AGAGCTCCACAGCAATTATACTCCCAGTAATGTGTCTGAGTGTATAACAGAGCTCCACAGCAATAATACTCCCAGTAATGTGTCTGAGTGTATAACAGAGCTCCACAGCAATAATACTCCCAGTAATGTGTCTGAGTGTATAACAGAGCTCCACAGCAATAATACTCCCATTAATGTGTCTGAGTGTATAACAGAGCTCCACAGCAATAATACTCCCAGTAATGTGTCTGAGTGTATAACAGAGCTCCACAGCAATAATACTCCCAGTAATGTGTCTGAGTGTATAACAGAGCTCCACAGCAATAATACTCCCAGTAATGTGTGAGTGTATAACAGAGCTCCACAGCAATAATACTCCCAGTAATGTGTCTGAGTGTATAACAGAGCTCCACAGCAATAATACTCCCAGTAATGTGTCTGAGTGTATAACAGAGCTCCACAGCAATAATACTCCCAGTAATGTGTCTGAGTGTATAACAGAACTCCACAGCGATAATACTCCCAGTAATGTGTCTGAGTGTATAACAGAACTCCACAGCAATAATACTCCCAGTAATGTGTCTGAGTGTATAACAGAGCTCCACAGCAATAATACTCCCAGTAATGTATCTGAGTGTATAACAGACTCCACAGCAATAATACTCCCAGTAATGTGTCTGAGTGTATAACAGAGCTCCACAGCAATAATACTCCCAGTAATGTGTCTGAGTGTATAACAGAGCTCCACAGCAATAATACTCCCAGTAATGTGTCTGAGTGTATAACAGAGCTCCACAGCAATAATACTCCCAGTAATGTGTCTGAGTGTATAACAGAGCTCCACAGCAATAATACTCCCAGTAATGTGTCTGAGTGTATAACAGAGCTCCACAGCAATAATACTCCCAGTAATGTGTCTGAGTGTATAACAGAGCTCCACAGCAATAATACTCCCAGTAATGTGTCTGAGTGTATAACAGAGCTCCACAGCAATAATACTCCCAGTAATGTCTGGGTGTATAACAGAGCTCCACAGCAATAATACTCCCAGTAATGTGTCTGAGTGTATAACAGAGCTCCACAGCAATAATACTCCCAGTAATGTGTCTGAGTGTATAACAGAGCTCCACAGCAATAATACTCCCAGTAATGTGTCTAAGTGTATAACAGAGCTCCACAGCAATAATACTCCCAGTAATGTGTCTGAGTGTATAACAGAGCTCCACAGCAATAATACTCCCAGTAATGTGTCTGAGTGTATAACAGAGCTCCACAGCTTTAAACTACAATAAATGTGTTTAGAAATCACCACTATTTTAAAGCGATCCCCAACTGCTGTAAAGTAATCCCACAAGTGTAAATTTAAGCAACACTCTGCTCTAATAACTCCAACATGATTTTATGACAAAAAAATTTTAGCAATTACTTTGTTTTTTAATTAGTTATAGAGCAAAATAAAGTTGTTGTTTTTTCCTTTCTCACGTTTATTGTCCGTGTTCCCATAGTGGCGTGTTTATTGCACCTGTTAGATAACACATTGAATTTAAATTGCGTAAAGTCTGCAAAGTAAACCAAACGTCTGGTGATTTTTCGATGACAAACAGCTGAGACTTTTTCTCCGATACATCAAGATCGCTTTTGATGGTTTTTCTCAACAATGTGTTGAGTCGCTGATTCTTTCCTTTTTTTTTTTTGGCACTTCTTAAACTTGTTGTGTGGGCGTCGGGGGCATCGAAGGCCGTTTATCAAAGATGCTTCCAACATTTTACTTTATGAATTATCTTTATTACAAAATGCCCTTTTATGTGTTTACAGACTGAAGCAGCGGGTTACAGATGGAGTCTGTTTGCAGATGAATTTCTCAGAATAACATTTCACCATCTTATTGAAATATGTTTCTCTACAAGTAATAAATAATGAACACTTTGCTTTTTTATTAGACTGCTTGAAAAGATAATAACACAATTTCTTTCTTCCACTATAATTTGGGATTTTTTTTCTGTGAAAATGAGTCCTTTTTCCCAGCGTTACTTTGCATGCCGCCATTGTTCAGCCACGCTGTACGCAGAATAATACTTTGTAAATCGTTTGCTATGGGAGGATTGTAGGTAGTTGGGAAATAATTCTCCATTATCATGACTGAGTTTGCAGATTGACTTTACACGTTAGCGTTTCTCAGAGACCATTCCCTACAGGTGACAACTGTCTAATGAAAACATTCTCAATATTTATTTCTTTAATCAATTACTCATTTATTTATTAAGTGTAAATGTTGCTCATTATCCTATAAATATGCATTGTGTTCTGAAGGGTTATCGAGCAGCATGTTCCCCTGGTCCTTTTAAAAACTATTCATTCAGAGGCCCCTCTAGTCTATCATCAGATTCTATTTGCCAATAAGTTAATTTCCTCTGATCACATGTCAGGTGGTCCCTAATGTTAGTCTGCTAAAGAACGTACTATTTGCTGACCGGCAGCTCTCTAAAGGATGGACCTGTACATGATGTCATGCAGCTGACCGGCGACTCTCTGACACAGGACTAAGGATGGACCTGTACATGATGTCATGCAGCTGACCTGCGACTCTCTGACACAGGACAAAGGATGGACCTTTACATGATGTCATGCAGCTGACCTGCGACTCTCTGACAGGACAAAGGATGGACCTGTACATGATGTCATGCAGCTGACCGGCGACTCTCTGACACAGGACAAAGGATGGACCTGTACATGATGTCATGCAGCTGACCTGCGACTCTCTGACACAGGACAAAGGATGGACCTTTACATGATGTCATGCAGCTGACCTGCGACTCTCTGACAGGACAAAGGATGGACCTGTACATGATGTCATGCAGCTGACCGGCGACTCTCTGACACAGAACAAAGGATGGACCTGTACATGATGTCATGCAGCTGACCGGCAGCTCTCTGGCACAGGACTAAGGACTGACCTGTACATGATGTCATGCAGCTGACCGGTGACTCTCTGGCACAGGACTAAGGATGGACCTGTACATGATGTCATGCAGCTAACCTACGACTCTCTGACACAGGACAAAGGATGGACCTGTACATGATGACATGCAGCTGACCTGCGACTCTCTGACACAGGACAATGGATGGACCTGTACATGATGTCATGCAGCTGACTGGCAGCTCTCTGGCACAGGACTAATGATGGACCTGTACATGATGTCATGCAGCTGACCGGCAGCTCTCTAGCACAGGACTAAGGATGGACCTTTATATGATGTCATGCAGATGACCGGTGACTCTCTGGCACAGGACTAAGGATGGACCTTTATATGATGTCATGCAGCTGACCTGCGACTCTCTGACACAGGACAAAGGATGGACCTGTACATGATGTCATGCAGCTGACCGGCAGCTCTCTGGCACAGGACTAAGGATGGACCTTTGCACCCAGTGGGCTTTAACCACGCGACAGGGCCCCTTGCTCTCCGGCATTCTGGGAGGAAGTGATGGCCACGACTCACTACTTCCCACAAAGGAGAAGAGGAGCCACGCAGGAGAAAGAGGAGGGGGGCTGGGACGAGAGAGACAAACCCCAACTCCCAGCAGCATCAGCCACCCGTGTGGACAGTGAGGAAACCACCTTCCAAGGTAGGAAACTAGAGGGTGGGTTTAAAAGTGCAAGTTTGTGTCAGTATGTCTATGTGTCTGTGTGTGTGTTACTATGTCTTCCAGTGTATGTGTCTATCTGTTTTAGTATTTCTGTCAGTGTGTGTGGGTCAGTGTGTCTGTCCGTGTATGTGTCTGTGGGTTAGTATGTCTGACAGTGTATGTGTCTGTGTGTGTCACTATGTCTGTCAAGGTATGTGTCTGTCTGTGTGTGTCACTATGTCTGTCAGTGTATGTCTCTGTGTGTCAGTATGTCTGTCAGTGTGTGTTTCACTATGTCTGTCATTGTATGTTTATGTGTGTGTCAGTGTGCGTGTCACTATGTTTGCCAGTGTGTGTGTGTGTGTGTGTGTGTCAGTGTATGTCAGTATGTCTGTCAGTGTATGTGTTTGTGTGTCACTATGTCTGCCAGTGTGTCTTTCTGTGTTAGTATGTCTGTCAGTGTATATATGTCAGTATGTCTGTCAGTATATGTGTATGTATCTGTATGTTGTCAGTATGTGTGTCTGAGTAACTACACGTGTGTCAGTGTTTTTATCTGTGTGTCTGTGTATCTGCATGTGTGTCAGGTTGTGTATCTGTTTGTCTCTATGTGAATGTGTTTCTGTATGTCTGTATCTGCATGTGTGTCAGTGTGTATACCTGTGTATCTGCAAGTGTTTCCGTGTATATCTCTGTGTGTGTACAGATATCACAGTGTGTGTATGTTGCAGGGTATGTGTATATGTGCATATATCTCAACATTCTTCCAACTCTACATATAAACACTCCTGCATTGAAATGTCAACACTACCTACAAACACAATTCTGTATTTTACACCAAAATTAAATATCAATGCATCCCTGCATTCGAAAACCAACACTATACATAAATGTATACTTGCATTCAAACGTCAGCACCACATACAAACACACCCCTACATTCACACAAACATAATCAATACAAAAACATGCTTACATTCAAACACACAAACACTGCTCAGTGCTAAGCACAATCCTGCAAGCATGGGAAAATGGTAGAGCCCCAGCTGTCAAAGCATTGTTAGAGTTGCACAACAGATAGGGATCTACCTATTGGCCATTCTTGCGCTAGGGGGGCCCAAAAATATCTTGCATTAAGGCCCTTTCTACTTTAGTTCTTCCATTGCATTGGGGTGGATGGCATGATAGCATGCCGGGGAGTGCGAGGGTGCAGGGTCCACGGGGTCCAAGAAAATGGTTGCCCAGGGTTCGGTCAATATTAAAGACGGCCCTGCCTGTATATGCTGTGCTGCCTGCTGACCGGTGACTCTCTCACACAGGTTGAAGGATGGACCTGAACACGATATCATGCAGCTGACCAGTGACTCTCTGACACAGGATGATGGAAGGATGGACCTGTACATGATGTGCTGCCTGCTGTCCGGCGACTCTCTGACACAGGACGATGGATAGACCTGTACATGAGTCTGCATGTGTAGCAATGTTTGTATCTGTGTGTCTGTACATCTGTATGTGTGTCAGTGTTTGTATCTGTGTATCTGCATGTTTGTCAGTGTGTGCATCAGTGTGTCTGTGCAACTGCATGTGTGGCAGTGCTTGTATCTGTGTGTCTGCGCATCTGTATCTGAGTCAGTTTTTTTTATTGTGTCAGTTTTTGTATCTGTGTACCTTTGTGTCATTTTGTGAGTGTTTGAATCTGAGTGTCTGTGCATCCGCATGTGTGTCAGTGTTTGTATCTGTGTGTCTGTGTGTGTCTTTTCAACTGTATGTGTCAGTGTTGTATCTGTATGTGTCAATGTGTTTATCTGTGTATCTGTATGTGTGTCAGTATTTGTATCTGCATGTGTGTCTATGCAACAAAATGTTTCTTAGTTTTTGTATTCGTATTTCTCCATGTGTCAGCGTTTGTATCTATGTATCTGCATTTGTGTCAAAGTTTGTATCTGTGTGTCTATGTATCTGCATGTGTGGAAGTTGTAGCGGACCCGACCGATTACCTCCGCTAATTCCCTTCCTTTAGCCGAACAGGAACCATGTAAAATGGACAGAGACCTGTGTCCTCCCCCCAGTAACTGGACGAGATCGAGTTCTGGAGGTACAACAACACTTTATTTGCCACACTCGACTTTTATGTTAAACCCTATGCAAGGGGCATACACGACACAATGACAGTGTCCCCTCCCAGGGTCCTCCCCCTCCCAGAGGTCGTATTGTGGAAACGGAACTCCAGTCCCTTTGTCCCCTGTTCTCGCAACCCAGCCACGGGGCTTCCCACTTCTGGTGACAGGGGGTCTTCTTCCCAGGAGCCCCTTTGTCCCCTGTTCACGCCACCCAAATATAGGATCTTCATCCCATGAGGTTCTGCAATTGGGAGTCACAGCGCAGAAAAGCTTCCCGCCTCCTTGATTCCCAGTTACAGAAAGCCTGCCAAACCAGCCATTGTCCCCAAAGGATGCCCACACCAATCCCAGGGACCCCCATAATGGTACCTGCCTCGAACCCCTCTCCATTTGTGGGGTCCCTGTGCAAAACCAGGCAAGGGAAGCATCTCCTTTCAGGCTACAAATGTTTTTTTTTAAATAGGAGCAGCCAGGAAAGGGCATTTACCAAGGCACCTGGGTCTTATGTGGGGATGGGGCCAACTTGTTACTGCCTCAATCTTAGCTGGCTCTGGCTGTTGTTTCCTACACCCTACCCGGTGTCCCAGGTACTGTACCTCTGCCATCCCTAGGCAGCACTTCCTGGGTTTGAGGATCAACCCTGCCTCCCTAATCCTGTCTAGTATAGCTCCTTCATGTTCCAAGTGTCGCTGTATTATATGGCGATGTCAACCAGGCATAGTCCTGGAGACCCTCCAACAGCCGATCCACCATCCATTGGAAGGTGGCTGGAGCATTCTTTATCCCAAATGGCATTACCTTAAACTGGTACAGGCCAAATCGGGTGACGAAGGCCGACTTGAGAACAGCCAGCCAGTATCCCTTACACAGATCTATCGTGGTGAGGTACAGGCCCCTAGCCATCCTATACAGCAGCTCGTCTATACGAGGCATGGGGTAGGCATTGGATACCGTCTTGTCATTGAGCCCCCGGTAGTCAACACAGAACCTCATGGTCCTGTCCTGTTTTGGGACCAGTACTACCGGGGAAGCCCAAGGACTTTGGACTGCTCGATGACCCCCAGCCGGAGCATCTCCCGGATCTCTCAGCTCATACTTTCCTGCACCGGCTCTGGTACCCTGTATGGGGTTTGCCGTACAGGGGTTTGGTCAGGTGGCTGCACCCGGTGAGTGGCCATTGTGGTATACCCAAGCAGATTGGTGAATGTCTCCCTCTTTGCAGGCAGCATCTACTGTGCCTGCCAAGGCTCCTCCTTAGTTAAGTGATCCCCTAGGTGGACCTCGTCCACCAGGAGGTCAGGCAGGGGAAGATTATTGAAATCTTTCAAGGCTGGCGTGCATATAGCTGCTACATCCTCCGTCCGCTCATGGTAGGGCTTCAGCATGTTGACATGCAACAGGCGTCGTACTCCAGAACCCGAGCACAGGCCGATCACATAGGTAATGTCACACATTCATTCCACTACCCACTATGAGCCCTGCCAGGCAGCCCATAGCCTATTATGTCAGATGGGTTTTGTGGCGGAACCAGCCTCGCCACTGGGCATTGGAGAAGACTGATTGCCAGCCTCCTGCCCTGTGACTATGGCCCCATGTTGAAGTGCTTGATTTTCCCCTGCAAAGACCCGAAAGCCGGGTCATTCGGTACTTTCCCTATGTGAGCAGTGTTACCCCAGATAGCTATGCCATGGAGCCCATTTGTATAACGAAAGACTATGTAAAAGACTTTGGCTCCATGGCAATTGAACTGTATGTATGTGATCTGAGCGCCATTCAGTAATAATGTGCGCTCAGATCTAAGCTATCTGGGGATATGTACCTGTTTTATGCAATAGCTGCACAGTTATATATTTTTATGTATTTTATTGTATTTTGCTACCACGTGGCTAATGGAGTTTTGCCTCTGTCCTTGGAGATAATTGGATTATTTCCCAATTATCTCCAGGATAGAAGACTCTGTTGAACTGGTTTTGGGCAGAAAAGCCATGCTTCATTTGGTCACAAAGGACGTTGATCTAACTTTTGATCCACTGGACCAATTTGTATGATTTTATGTGAATGTGATGCATACTTTAAAAGTTATGAATATTGTGTAAAACTGTGTATTTTCCTGCCTGTGATAATTATATTAACCCATTGTGTAAGGTAATTGTATCACAGGCAGAGGGGAGGATTTTGTGTGGGAGTGTCCGAGAGTATTGTACATGTTTACTGGCTGTTTTCCAAAACCCTGTGGGTGGTACTAATGTGGAAGAATGTGTATATAAGAACAATAAACCCACAGCTCTGTAAGTTCTACTTCACCCTCAATCTGAGTCCTGTCTCTTATTGGGGGAATCTGCTACAAAGGATTGCTATGCTCTGCATATTCCCTTACTATAATCACTGAGCTCTTGTAAGAGCTTTGTGGCGAAACCAACCTCGCCACTGTGAACTGGAGAAGCCTGGTTGCTCGCCTGCTCCCTTTGGACTATGGCCCTGCAGGTTAAACCATTTATTTTCCCTGCAGAAAGGCTTATTTGTGTGATCTGAGTGCCATTCATCTAATAATGTGCACTCAGATCAAAGCTATCTGGGGATATGTAGAAATGTGTGTTTTATGTACTAAATGTATCAGTATGTAATTTTATGTCTTTTACTGTCTTTTTGTCTGCCATGTGGGTAATGGAGTTTTGCCTCTGTCCTGGGAGATAATTAGATTCCTTCCCCAATTATCTCCAGGCCAGAGGGGAGGGATTGTGAGGCATTGTGGGAGGTAACTCATGTGTGATTGGTGTATTGTGTAATTGTTGTAAATCCCTCCCTTGTAGGGGAGAATCCTTTATAAGCCTGTTGTGTGAATAAATCAGGGTTGTTCCTGTTTAACCCTCCAAGTGAAGTGTCGTCTCATTCTTGGGGGGAATTTGACTGTATGCCGATTGCCAGGAGTGTAAGCTGTTCTTATGGCTTTTCCTGTTCGGCTGCTTCCAGGGTTCGTGTGTTTCCTGTTCGGGAGTTGGTGAATACGTGCAGTTTGGAGTTCGGGAGGTTGGTGATTGCAGTAGCTGCTGGTCTATGGGAAAGGGGATTATCGCCTAAACGGTTTTTATCCCCTTGTGAGCGAAACGGTCCGTTACAATTGGTGGCAGCGGTGGGATCATTTCCACAGCCCAGAAGGACAGCTATAATACAACACCAGTTCCTGGATTACAAATTGAGGGCAACGCCAGTACCCGTACAGCGACCCTATCTACAAAAGAACCAACTTCAGCAGCGCAAGCATGGCACCCAGCTACACTCAGGAGCAGTATGACAGAGAGTTTACCATGCGGCTGGCTTTCTTTGGACCCAACCCCCCGGAGAAATACGTGCAGTTCGTAAGGAGCCAGGTAGACGAGTACCTGCAGTTCATGGCAGATCCAGCCAAAGGTATTGGCCGCCCTATCTGGTGGCAGAGTGCGTTACGGGGACTCAAAGGTGTACCCCAGGGAGCTGAAGGTGCAGTCCTTCCTCTCCAGCGGCAGTGTGTATCCCAGGGAGCTGAAGGTGCAGTCCTTCCTCCCCAGCGGCAGTGTGTATCCCAGGGAGCTGAAGGTGCAGTCCTTCCTCCCCAGCGGCAGTGTGTATCCCAGGGAGCTGAAGGTGTCGTCCTTCCTCCCCAGCGGCAGTGTGTGTTCTTAGGAGAGGAGACAGTTGGTCCCTCTCCCCAGCGGCCAAGTGAGTCCCAGGGAGCTGAAGGTGTCGTCCTTCCTCCCCAGCGGCAGATTGTATCTCAGGGAGCTGAAGGTGTCGTCCTTCCTCCCCAGCGGCAGAGTGTCCTGCAGGGAGCAGAGACCATCAGTCTCGCACCCCAGCAGCAGGACAAAATATTGAAAGGGGAGACAGCTGGTCCCCCTCACCACCAGCAGAGAGAGTGTCAGGGAGAGGAGCCTGCTACCCCCTCTCCCCAGCGGCAGGTTATAGTTCAGAGAGAGGAGCTTGTTACACCCTCTCTCCAGCTGCAGCCTAACCCACCAAGGGGAGATGTTACACCCCCCAACAGTGCAGATGGGACCGTAGTCTTTGCACTTGCAGCACAAGGGGTAGGGACGGTCGGTCCTGTCCCCCAGCCCCAGAGCTGTGTACCCAGAGGGGAGACGGTCGGTCTCCCCCTCCCACAACCAGGCTCCAACCAGGCTACTTCAGTGGTAGCGCTGGCACCAGGGCAGAGTACCGCTGGTCTCTGCCCACTCAGCAACCCACCAAGGCAGCCTAACAGTTCCCCACACAGTCGTAGTGAGGCACCTGGACATGGACAAAGCTCTCCTCTACCCAGGTGTAGTAACCAGTTATTGTGGGTGGGCTGTACTGCTGTTTCTGTTTTGTGGGTGGGTTGCTGGACTAACCAGGGCACTGACCAGCAGGAGGTCAGATACCCTGTTAGTCTAGTTGGTAAAGGGGAGAAGTGTGGCGAAACCAACCTCGCCACTGTGAACTGGAGAAGCCTGGTTGCTCGCCTGCTCCCTTTGGACTATGGCCCTGCAGGTTAAACCATTTATTTTCCCTGCAGAAAGGCTTATTCGTGTGATCTGAGTGCCATTCATCTAATAATGTGCGCTCAGATCAAAGCTATCTGGGGATGTGTAGAAATGTGTGTTTTATGTACTAAATGTATCAGTATGTAATTTTATGTCTTTTACTGTCTTTTTGTCTGCCATGTGGGTAATGGAGTTTTGCCTCTGTCCTGGGAGATAATTAGATTCCTTCCCCAATTATCTCCAGGCCAGAGGGGAGGGATTGTGAGGCATTGTGGGAGGTAACTCATGTGTGATTGGTGTATTGTGTAATTGTTGTAAATCCCTCCCTTGCATGGGAGAATCCTTTATAAGCCTGTTGTGTGAATAAATCAGGGTTGTTCCTGTTTAACCCTCCAAGTGAAGTGTCGTCTCATTCTTGGGGGGAATTTGACTGTATGCCGATTGCCAGGAGTGTAAGCTGTTCTTAGGGCTTTTCCTGTTCGGCTGCTTCCAGGGTTCGTGTGTTTCCTGTTCGGGAGTTGGTGAATACGTGCAGTTTGGAGTTCGGGAGGTTGGTGATTGCAGTAGCTGCTGGTCTATGGGAAAGGGGATTATCGCCTAAACGGTTTTTATCCCCTTGTGAGCGAAACGGTCCGTTACAAGCTTGTTCCTGTCTTGCTCTCTGAAGGAGTCTACGGGGGTTATGGTGTCGGCTGGAGTGCTTGGAGCCCTCAGGAAGCGGTAGGAGCATCCTTCAATGGAGGTACCCAGTCGAGGTGCCAGGTGATCTGTTACAGGTTTCAAAACCAAAATCTTCTGCCCAACTTGAAAGCTACGGCTCATACCAGGGCCAATGAGCCACCTGGAGGTTCCCACGCACCAGGTGAGTGAGTTCCTCCAGCCGGTCCCTAAACTCCAGCACATATTTTGAACGCTGGTATTTCAGATATCCGTTTGCTTTACGTTCCTCCTGAACTGCTAAAGGCTGAGTGATTATAGCTTGCAGTTCTGGTGTTGATTCAAACGTTCTCCAAAAGAAAATGCACTATCCAAGTAAATTCTCCAAGCAATCAGACGTATTCCCAAATATCAGCCTAAACTAGATGAAGGGTACAACAGGAAGGAATTTATTCAGGCCAACTGGCCGGTTTATATGCAAGTCCCATGCAAGGGGTTTACTGTGACATATTCCATGGGCATTCTCCACTGGACCTGAGAGGGGACTATGGAAAAGTACACACTGTAATTACCTTGGCTCTCAGGCTCAGGACACTCCCACACAAAACAGAATAATCACTCCCTTGTGCCTGTGAGATAATTGAGTCAGGAGTTGTACTAAACTAAATTATCTCTAGGCTCAGAAAACATAAATTTCAACAACACCCTGAA